TATACACTACTACGCTGTTAAACCTAAATGGACAGGAGTTCATAAACTGAGGCTTTGGTATGACGAGGAAATATAATCTACCTCATTCAAAAAATTAAAGAATCCTCCCTAATTAAACTTCATTGACGTAGATATAAAATTACGAATCTTATTTTTTCTACTTTTTGCTATTTACATACTATCGTAGAGGTTTACGCTCTTTTTAACTGGCAACAAATATAAAAATAAAATTACAAATAGCTCCAGTCCAGATTTTTTAACCAATCCAGAGATCACCTTTTTACACATTAACCACTCAACCGCTAATTATTCACTTTTAAACTGGTTATGCTTTTGTAAAAATGCGCGAACGAGGTGTACACTTTCACAGACGCCACCGATCTCCCCGTCTCGTTGTTGTGTTTTTCTATTTATATCATACCAAACAGGGACCCAACGAAATTTTGGAGACTGACATGCCTTTTTAGCCAATAGCAGACCAGCACCTTTTGTTTATCGGTTAAATAGAACAGTCACGTCAGTGAGCTTCGTTGTTCGTTGTTTCAAAAATAAAATTTTTTAGTTGGTGGTTTTAGGAAAGGATGTCAATAAAACAAGGTAATTTATTTTTATTTAGCATTAATTAATTAAATTGAGTACATAATAATTTCCACTTAGCTTTTATAAATCCCAAACTTGCGTAGCGTAAATTTATTATGTTTCGCTTATATTTTAATCTTGGACTCCATGACCACTGCTTAGTTGCGAAACTTACGGCAGCTTAGATTTAACAATTTACCCTAAAAAAGGGAGTTTTAGCAACTGTCAGTTGAGGCATGAGAATTAGGTCTTAAATTTTGGTTCTGTAAACAGCAGACCATTTCAGCTCTCAAAATACTTTTCGTGGCCAATCGATCCCGAGTTCTGCCATTTATCCGTGGCGTTCGTAATGGACTAAAATGTATTGAGTCAGTCGACGAATAATCGTCGGAACCCTTATCGCTTTCGGAAAACAAAGTAAAAACAAAATCACGTTGATGCGTCTTAAAAAGTAATGTCACACTGGAACAATGTAGGAACAAAAAAATTATAAACAGTCAAATTCTCCTTAACATAATTTAACCGACAATAATATTCCAAACCGTTAATTGTGTACATACAACTAGCACCGACGGCTAAACTGTACCATAAGACCACGTTACCAACTGTGCGGTTTGAAAACTTCACTTGGGCCATTATCGAGCCCAGAACAAAGAATTGAATTACGAAGGTCGGCAAAAAGAAGCCGATAGCATTTGCGGAAATATAGTCGTGAAACAGTGCCGAAATGAAGATCACCACAATCTTCGCTGCCGTCTTGTTTCCGGGAAGCACAACCTCATAAAAGTCCCTGTAGATATACTTATACAACCAATCGTACACTATACCATTCCACGTTCTGTAGTACCTCTCGAAGGAGGTCGACGTCCACCAATCCTAAAACGAGCGCCTGCATTACTGATGATGCGATCAAGACGATACCTGGTAGAATAACCTGTCGGAAAAGTGGAGCATTTCCGCGAACGCGTTCGACCAAAGGTGGAGCAATAGGTAAAACAGCAACAGACTGGTCAGCATTGCGTATGGAGCGTTTCTAAGTACTATCATTCCTATGTCAGCCAATCGGTAAGGTCTCAAACCGAAGTCTTCTAGCTGAGAAATGTACGTGGTTTGGTAGACGAAGCTGCAAAGTACTATCGCCGCTATAAGTTCGATGAAGTAGTTAATGACAAGGTGCCACCTTATGCTTCCCTTTGATCTGGAAGAGAGAAAATGATTAATTGCGCATCCATCTAGGTTTACCTTGGATAGGAATCCCTATACAGCAAAGTTGGCGCGAACAGAAAATAGACATAGTGTGAAAAATTTCGAGAACTCTTCACCTTGACGTGCTTCACGATGTCAGGTGCACATGTTCTTATGAAAGCATATGATTTCATTATCAACCTCGTCTACAAAAGAACTTTGTAAATAGTTCCCTTGAATAGTGTAGTACTTACTGTCTCACAGCCTGTCGCACCACCAAGCGCGTATCCGAAATCATATCTGAAGGTTGCCCATACGGAACAGTACAATATCGTAGTAGCATACAGCAAGTAAATCACCATCCACAGTTTATCCCACAGCAGTAAGTGGTTGGCTAGAAAAGGATTGTATCAGTAGAAAGAGGTGTTTTGTTCGGATTACGAATTCTGTAAGCGGTCCGTGTGCTGTGTTTTTGAGTGAATTCTGTACACGGTACGTGCGCTTGAAAAGTCCCGCTCTTTTGTAGATTGTTCCTGCTAACGATTATTAACAATTGTCAAGTTTTGATAACAGTTATTTTTTCAAATGATTTTGATGATTTAACTTTGATTTTATTATCATTGTTAATATCGTAAGAAACATTCAAATCCACCGATTGGGTTTGGTTATTATGTAAGTACTGTTTTGTGCGCAAATGGTTTGCTTTCTTCTTTTTGTTGCTTTGATTTGATTTCATTGTAGTATATTTACTTTTCTCTTTCAGCGGGTACGTTACATAAGAAAATTGGATCCGTTTTGTCAAACTACGAAATAGAGATTACTGTGTTTTTTTACCAATCCTTGCTTTGAGGCAAAGAAAAAGTAGCTAATCGAGACATTATTCAAAACAAAACCGCAACGGAGGTACAGTTACATTTTTCATTTTCATTTTCATTTCATTTCATTTATTATTGTAGATATCTACATAATGCGGTCCTACCAAGTTATTTACTTAATATTTAATAATAATAATAATAATGACTAGGATTAGAACCGGCAAGATCGAGAAAATCAAATAATAATAATAATAATAATAATAATAAATTAATAACTTCACCAGACACAGACACTAATCGTTACTTGATTTTAATCCGTGCGATTAGTTAACCAGGCTAAACCTGAGTTCTCACAAGATACACCGACCATAATAATAATAATAATAAGGTCTTTATTAGATGACGATCTAAAGGGCGAAGTTCACCTAGGGGCAACATCGCCATCAGGTGTTCTTCCACTTAACCCATAACATAACTTCAGTTTAAATGTTTACAATTTCGATGGACGGGTGACAAAGAGAGAGAACACACACACAAAAAGACAATACTGTGAAAAAAAGTTAATGAATAAGTAACTTGAGAATGGGACACTTTACTCGTTCAAAAGAATGTGACGTAGTGCTGATTTAAACCTGGACACTGTAAGCTTTTTAATATTCGATGGAATGGCATTGTAGACAGTGGTCTATATCTGAACTATGAGAAGGGATAGTAATGAGATCCTTTCGTCTGATATTTACATTATGAACGTCAGTTCGAAAGGTGATTTTATTATAAAGATACGGTGGTGTTTTAAAAAATATTATTTTGTGATACAAAATCGCCGCGTGAAGGAGTTGACTTTTTTTCCATATCAAGCCAGGATATTGATTTTAATTTATGCGAAACGCTTTGAAATTTACGTATGCCATAAATCAATCTTAAGCAATAATTCTGAACCTGCAACCTTCTCTTATGCGAGTACGAGAGTCGAGGACCATATACATCATTTTAACAAGTTATCTTAAGATTACTTTTTCTACCGCCACTTAGGGCCGATTCTACAATGCAGGTATACAGTGTGTCCCCGGATGGACTGAACAAGAGGGAAAAAATTTTCAATTTCAACTTTACGCAAAAATGTCATTCTTTATAAAAATTTTTGCTTGCCTCAAAATCACCTATTCTGAAATAAAAATCTAGTATTCCTTTTAGCAGCTGAGAAAATTACAAGAAACGCAAAATCTACAGCGGAAATTTGCATGTTTATAATAATAATTTGAATAACAATATCAAAATTTTAAAACAAAAAATCACGGAAGCGATAAATTCTATCAATGATGATACGATCCACAGTTTATAAAGAATTTGTATGTAGAGCTGAAAAGTGTGTAGAGGTTGGAGGATACCACATTGAATAAAATAAAATGTTTCTCTTAAGCTCTAAGGTGTCTTTTTTAACTGATTTGCTTATCAGGTTGCCATGGAAGATACAATGATAGTCTGATTTAATCAAAAACATGTAACTTAGAAAAATTTCCGCTGTAGATTTTGCGTTTTTTGTAATTTTATCAGCTGCTAAAAGGAATATCTACATTTTTATTTCAGAATAGGTGGTTTTGAGGCAAGCAAAAATTTTTATAAAGAATGACATTTTTGCGTAAAGTTAAAATTAAACATTTTTTCCCTCTTGTTCAGGCATACTGTATAACGAGAATAAGATATACCTAGAATAAATGTCGACGGTTGCGTTGGTTACTATTGTAACGAATGGGATACATGCCGCTATGGCAGCTTTTCCAAGGATATCTTATTCTGCGTAAAAGTGTAGTTGTAGAATTGGCCCTTAGTATTATGTTTGAGGGATAAAGGTGTTACCTACGGTTCAACAGTTTTCTTTTGAAATGGCAGCTCCGCTGACAACAGGGCCTAAACCTTTCAAGAAAGTAGGTACTAATGGCACTATTTTGCCAATCATTCAAGTTTCAATTGCGAAAAAATCATCAATTAATGTAGTTTCAAGCAGTCAAAGTACTCACATTTGGAAAGTAAATGCAGCCTTACTGCTCCCCACACCTGAAACGCAGGATAGACGCACAGGGTAATTGAAAACGCGAAGATCCATGCGATTACGAAGGCGTGGAAATTCCGAAAGACCTTAATGATTAAACGGTAACCGGTGCCTATTCTGAAATGGAACCGGTGACCACGTTGGGATCGGTGTGAAACTCAAGGTACTCACTGTTCGTTGTAAAAGTAGTCATGCAGGAGAGTGTTAATGCAGGTGCCTACGATTAGTGCCACAAACATACGGTATATGGCGAGAATGTGTTTATTTCTAAAAAGTTCCGTCAACACTGACTCCCTGCTTTGGAACACTTTAACACGCACCTCTTCGTCCTCTGGAAATTTTCTGCAAAATTAACTATAATCGCATGAACATGGTGACCAAGTAGATACCTTTCGTCCATTGTATGATTTTTGGGTTGATCATCTTGAAGAGACATTTCCTCACTGTTTTGATTCTCTTTCCAAACATTAACACGAAGTATCATCGTGTGATAACACTGTACTATAATTAATCATTATCTTATCCAATTGGTATGAATTTAACATTACATAGTTCAGAGGCAAAACACCGGGCTACGTAATGAATGTAAGTCATTCGAGCATTATCACCTGTGATTGGTTATAACGGGAAGTTGATAAACACAGTTTCCGATTTCCGCAAAAGCCCCCTATAAACCATTACGAGGAAAGCGACAAATATTCGCGGCTTGACTATGCAGGAAACTACCCTTTTAGTTGCATACGAAGACTTTCCTTAATAATATCTGTGATATGAGTACCTAGGTATGTGAATGATCTCATGGTTAATGATTGTAATGATTGTAGGGAGAGGGTAATTGAATTTTCCTTTTACGGGGGAGGGGAACAAACTACAGCTTTTGTCTTAGCTTCTTCGTTACTGAAATGAAGTCCATTTCGATCCTTTCTCAATTTCCCAAACAGGTAGTCACTTGGGGTTATATCTGGACTATACGGCTATACGGGGGGGGGGGGGGTGCTCGATTTTCACATCGATGCGTACACCACGATCAGCTGTTGGGCTGCGTCCTTCTCTATTACACGGAACAACACACCTGTTCCTCTCTAGCGCTCTACTGAGAATTGCGACAACCATACTGTTGGCGGCCGCCAGCTGGTGGACTACCTCCCCATGACGTATCCCGAAGTGCGATAGTGGGTCACGCAGCATTACGATAGCCCAACGATTAAGTCCATGGTACACACAAGTTCTACAACCGCGACCAAAAGAATTCGGCCTTTGCTCTTCTTTCAGCGGAAGGGCCACCTCGCTACACGGTTGCGCATCGACATAAACGAGCACATAGCATTGCTCGCGGACCTACTGCATCCCAGGGTGCGGCCGTTTATGCGCGCCTACGGGCCCCCCGCAATGTAGTTTCTGGAGGTGGTCGAGGAGGACACTAGGCCAGCCGGCGCCAACCCTCGCTTCAAGGATCACGCCAGCGAATCGCCTAAGCGGTCTGTGGGGCCAACTCCCCCTGACTGTCATCCACCAAATACACAAGCCACCGCAGCTCGGGTTGCCAAATATCACCATGGAACTTGGGAATCGCCACCGCCTTACCATGCTGGACACTGGGGACACCTCTCACAATTTCATCGACCGTCGACTGATCTACCGCACCAACAAGGGTACCAAACTGTGACAGCATCGAACAACAAGAAACCTTCCTGGTAGCCAGCGATCTCGCAACGCCCACTAACTAAGTCAGGACTAGTTGCTTCGCAACGAGGCCGTCCTAAATTATGGTCGTCGATGTGTACTCTGGGGCCAAGAACGCCGTCACACTATCCATTGGGCCCTCTCCGCCAAGACAGCCGAAAACGTCATGCCGAAGATCGAACAGGTTCACCACGGGTTTCCAACATCACTGATTTCTCGGTTCCGGGAACTATTCTAAACGTTTCGGGTCACATTTTCGAAGAGAACCGTCTCGTCCACCACCGCGATCATTGCCCAAGAAATGGAAACAATATTGCACGATCGCATTTTTTAACCGAGCACCTTCAGAAACTGCTCCCCAATCGTCACTGTCTAAAAGAAGGACGGAAACACTCGCTTCTTTGTGGACTGTACCCTACCACTTATCCACGAGACATTTAAAGAAGTGGGGACAGCAAAGGTGTTCTCTACGCCGGACCTCGACTCTGGATTCTGGCAGGCCCCTCTCGCACCTGAGTCTCGCGCCTTTTCGACTCACGACGGCGCTCTCTACTGGCGCCCCTATTGGGAGGAACACCCCGACCATCTGTGGATAGTGATGGAGCCGCTCCAGTAACACCATCTTCACCTCGCACAGGACAAGTGCTGTTTAAGGGTGACTTCCATGACGTATCTGTGTCACCTTATCACGGCAGACTCCAAACGATCACTCCCAGAGCACGTGGAAGTCCTCCGAGGCCCATAACACGTAGGCAACTCCGCACCCTCTTGGCTCTGAACAATTGGCTTTGGGACTACGTGCTCCGCTGTGCCGAAATTTCAGCTCAGCTCAACGATATGGCAAAGAAGGGAGCCTGATTCACGTGGACGGCCGCCGCGAACAAGGCGTTTGAGAGTCTGCAAGGAGTCCTCGGCCAGCCACTGGAAATCCACCGTCCCGGACTTCCATACCGTTCGTACTCCAAACCGCAGCCAGCGGATGCGGTACAGCGGCGGTCCTTTATCAGGAAGACGAAGACCAGCGACGGCGCGTAGTCAGCTCAGGCCAAATACCACGTCAACGAACTAGAATACCTGGCCGTAACTGTCAAGAGATACAGGCCATACCTGGACGCACCGATAGCCCTTCTCTTCCAATAGTTTAGTTACGACATCCAACATTGTCGCGACAAGTACAACAAACTGGCGGATCATCTTTCCCGAAATACCAAGGTAACTACCATCGCCACCGACGCAGACGAAGAACGTATGACGTTGCCTTCGCCCGACCAACGCCCCACCATCAACCACGTCAAAATGGCCATACTCGTAGAACACATCCGAGATAACCAGAAGATCAACCTCGACAGTCAAGAGGCGATCCGATCGTGACGACTCATCGAAGTGTCCACTGACGAAAGCCAAAGGAAGTTACTGGGAGAGTACAGCGTCTACGAGGGGTTACTTTACAAACACAGTTCCCAGAGCCGGCTGCTCCTTGTCCCCAGGGAAAGTCACGAGGACATCTACGCCTACCACCACGCTCGCACCCCCGGACACCCAGGAAACGAGAAAACCACCAGGGCCATCTCCCCAACCTATCACTTTTCCAAGTTCGAGGTCAGGGCTCGCAACTACATTCGCAGTTGCTGGATCTGTACACCGCCGTAAAGAGGAACCTAGTTCAGGATGCGACCCTCCAGCCCAGGCAGCCCACGCTCCCCTCGTGTCGGTTATAACGGATTTGTTCAGCATGTCAGTCACCAACACACTAGAGCACGAAGTTTGGGTTCCCGAGGGCAATCATCTCCGACAACGACACGCAATCCACCTCCGTCACGTATGCACTGATGGACCACACATATATGGCACCCCCACGCCAACCCAGTTGAACGCGTGGGCGTCCACTCGTCCCCTTCAACCTTCGATCCAGAAGGCCCGGGCGTTACCCCAAGCAAGGCCCTCTTGGGCTACGATCTGACCAGACCGGAAGAGTGGCGAACGAGAACCTAAGAACCTCTAGTCGGGTCTAGTTTTGTGAAAATCGCAATGCAAGAAGCATTTCATGTAACAATTGAGTTAACACCGGTTCCCCCCTATTTCGCCCCCGCCGAATCCGAATATGCCATTTGCCAACTCGAAATTTCAACCGGAAGTGAGATATTCAAGATGGCGTCCAAAATAGCGCCAAATTTAAGTGCTTTTTTGCTTTTGGTCATATGTGTGCGATCCAAGTGTCTATCCCTAGGTTTTTTGGGGCGTAGAACACGATTAAATACTTAAAAATAAATTTGGTTAAGAAAATCACCATTAAAAAGTCATATTTTAACAAAATTTCACCAATATTAACCAAAAAAATCATTTTTTTATCGAAATGTGTAGAAAATTATGTGCTGTGTCTGAGGGGATTTAGAGCATGTTTAAATGCTCAAAATTATTTTAAACAAGTGTTAAAGGACTTTTATTTTCTGAATTCAATTGACATTAATACTCGTCATTCATCGTCATCGTCACCTGCCCCATTCAAGCACTTTACTCTGCACTTACACAGTTTTGTGCAAGGGACCCAGGGCTCCTTTCTACACCCACACTGCTTTGTGTTACACAGTCCTTTGCAGCCACAAACACTAAACTCCGGGCATGACTTTGGGATAGATGGCAGAGTCATGAGAATAGGCACATATCGCCCGCCTTCCACCTTCCACCCACAATTTTTAGGGTCAGGTAGTTCGGGGAAGGCCACGTGGGAGTTTTTCCACACAAAAACCTAAATAAAATAAATTAATATGAAAATACCTGCGACAGTTAATGTACAAACGCCACTTAAAATATTAATTTTACCTGATAGTGGCACCGAAGGATATGCAAGCGCAGTGCGTCACTGGTAGGCGGCAAGAATTCCAGCACCTTTACAGCTCCAAAAAGAGAAACGCGCGCTGCATTTGACATTGTAATGTCTGGCCCAACCTAAAATAAAAGTGACATAATTGTAAAAAAATAAATATTTTAACAGCAAATAATTTGTGGTGAATAAGGGGACGCAACAAACCTTGTACAAAGCTTGCACCACGAATTGCTCGATATTGTCGAGTACATCGCTGGCCAGGTCAGAGGTAGCTCCAAGTCCACTAAGGAGTGCTGAATTTTCTTCTGTGTAATGTTTCCATGCGCCAGTTTTAGTTACTGATGCCAACTTTGATGTGGTATCACACCCAGTAACTGCATGGAAAGCCAGTAAATGTTTCATCTGGTTGGGTTTAAGCTTTTGACAAACTTCGTGAATAGGAATTTTCTCTCACGGTAAGTCCCGCACATTATCCAACATTTCTTGCAAATCATTTGTTCAAAGTGGTAGATAAATAATAGTAATACATCGGTGTCCCTTACAGAAACAACAACAGACTCACAGTCGCTGTGGACGGCGTGGAGCACCATTCTTGTGTCAGCCTCTTCGTGGTTTGCAACGAAGTGCGTGAGGTCTCTTGCTTCGTTTGTTGACTGGACATGTGTAGCTTCTACAAAACCACCAGCCACAAGCACTTCTAAGCCGCCAAAGTCATGACACAGGTCGAAAGGTTTTGTCCCTGTACGGAGAGTTATCAAGAACGGTGGAGTTCCCCTGCCCAAAGATTGGACAAGCTTCCTTGCCATGTCAGAAAATAAGGCCGACCTCACGCGCTTCTTGAGTGAAGAAGCTATGAAGCATGACTTTGGCGGCTTAGAAGTGCTTGTGGCTGGTGGTTTTGTAGAAGTTACACATGTCCAGTCAACAAACGAAGCAAGAGACCTCACGCACTTCGTTGCAAACCACGAAGAGGCTGACACAAGGATGGTGCTCCACGCCGTCCACAGCGACTGTGAGTCTGTTGTTGTTTCTGTAAGGGACACCGATGTATTACTATTATTTATCTACCACTTTGAACAAATGATTTGCAAGAAATGTTGGATAATGTGCGGGACTTACCGTGAGAGAAAGTACATTCCTATTCACGAAGTTTGTCAAAAGCTTAAACCCAACCAGATGAAACATTTACTGGCTTTCCATGCAGTTACTGGGTGTGATACCACATCAAAGTTGGCATCAGTAACTAAAACTGGCGCATGGAAACATTACACAGAAGAAAATTCAGCACTCCTTAGTGGACTTGGAGCTACCTCTGACCTGGCCAGCGATGTACTCGACAATATCGAGCAATTCGTGGTGCAAGCTTTGTACAAGGTTTGTTGCGTCCCCTTATTCACCACAAATTATTTGCTGTTAAAATATTTATTTTTTTACAATTATGTCACTTTTATTTTAGGTTGGGCCAGACATTACAATGTCAAATGCAGCGCGCGTTTCTCTTTTTGGAGCTGTAAAGGTGCTGGAATTCTTGCCGCCTACCAGTGACGCACTGCGCTTGCATATCCTTCGGTGCCACTATCAGGTAAAATTAATATTTTAAGTGGCGTTTGTACATTAACTGTCGCAGGTATTTTCATATTAATTTATTTTATTTAGGTTTTTGTGTGGAAAAACTCCCACGTGGCCTTCCCCGAACTACCTGACCCTAAAAATTGTGGGTGGAAGGTGGAAGGCGGGCGATATGTGCCTATTCTCATGACTCTGCCATCTATCCCAAAGTCATGCCCGGAGTTTAGTGTTTGTGGCTGCAAAGGACTGTGTAACACAAAGCAGTGTGGGTGTAGGAAGGAGCCCTGGGTCCCTTGCACAAAACTGTGTAAGTGCAGAGCAAAGTGCTTGAATGGGGCAGGTGACGATGACGATGAATGACGAGTATTAATGTCAATTGAATTCAGAAAATAAAAGTCCTTTAACACTTGTTTAAAATAATTTTGAGCATTTAAACATGCTCTAAATCCCCTCAGACACAGCACATAATTTTCTACACATTTCGATAAAAAAATGATTTTTTTGGTTAATATTGGTGAAATTTTGTTAAAATATGACTTTTTAATGGTGATTTTCTTAACCAAATTTATTTTTAAGTATTTAATCGTGTTCTACGCCCCAAAAAACCTAGGGATAGACACTTGGATCGCACACATATGACCAAAAGCAAAAAAACACTTAAATTTGGCGCTATTTTGGACGCCATCTTGAATATCTCACTTCCGGTTGAAATTTCGAGTTGGCAAATGGCATATTCGGATTCAACGGGGTCTAAATAGGGGAGAACCGGTGTTAACTCAATTGTTACATGAAATGCTTCTTGCATTGAAACGGAGAGCATCCACGGGCGAACACCGCCAGGGCCATGCTGCAGGTACATCAAAACCGTTACGCCAATTACGGTTCCGCGGTCACCCAGTATGAAGTAGGGGCACGAGTAATGGAGAGGAACCGGAACCAGAAAACCGGAGAATTCCACTTCAAATGGATGGAACCCCACACCATGGAAGCCCTGGTCGGAATCAACGCCTACTGGCTCACTAAGGTCAACATTCACGACCTGTGACCCGCATTACGTCCACCAGCCCTACTGTTACCGACGAGCCTGCAAACGAAACGAGCCTGTGTAGCTCAGTGGTAGACCGTTGGGCTACACAGCCGGAGGTCGGGTGTTCGAACCTGTGCTGAGGTAAGATTTTTTCATCTGTGGGAAGTTACTTCATCATCAGTTTCGAGGTTACTCCGAATTAGGGTTTCCTGCAGGTTTCCGAATTCGTAAGGTAAATACCGGAGTAGTATAGAGAACAACTTAAGACTTTGTTATTAATAAACATCTGCACTGTTAATTGTTCCGCACTACGGTAACATAGGGGCAAGTCATCTTAACCCTTGCAAATGGCTGAAACTGGCCGGTTGAACTCAATATCTGCAACGCTCCGACGCCAGCCCCGACGATGGTACAACCAACGCAAGTACGCAACACAGCCCCGCTACCACCAACTCCACAAAAAAGATCCATCAGACAGACTCAAAACAGCGACGGCGCAAGTAGGAGGAGAAGTCGCATTAACTCCAACCTATGACACGCTCAAGGAGTCCATACAGAGAAAATACGCCAATGAATCCGTGGGAAACTGAAGTTCTTCTCTAGAGCACCACATCGACCTCCTGAAGGAGGCACTTCATCCCCGGATCCGGTCCTTCCTGAGGAACGCGGAAGCAAGAACCCATACCCCCATACCCATGCTATGCGACCATACCCCAGCTAGACAAGCCTGCTGCAAACATTCCAGTATCCGAAGAGTCAACCACACAAACACCTGACATAATTCTTCGACACGAAAAGAAATTGACATGAAAAACTCTATCCGGGTGGCACAATGGATTCGAATAAACACAATTAATTGATTGACAAACATTTATTCCAAAACACAACGAAACAAAAAGAAAAGCTTATAAAGCTTGTTTGGACGTATTACACGGACGCAGGCGGGCGACGAATAAATAAAAAACCTTAAAATTACTTACAGAGTTTTTCTTAACAATCCAAATAATCCGGCCGAGATTAGCCACATAAGACGCACTTAACTCACTCATTGTTTATGAATTAATAACATTGCTCTCAATTACAATGGAATTTTGTGATAAAATAGTTACCCAATTTCCCTGTATAATTAGTCGTAATGACAATTATAAGGCGGAAGAAGGGCTGTGAATGCGATATGTGTTTGCACAGCTTTATTTTAATCAATTTACTATTCTTAAATGTTTTCTATTTTTAGCGCATTTCCACAAAAATAAAAAAAATGCGCTATTGTGGCCACTTTGTCCGTCCGTCCGTCCGTCCGTCCGCTCGTTTTGCGACGCTACTAGTTCTTTATCTTAAGAGCTATTGTTCTACTTTTTTCGCTATTTGGTTCGTTATGGTGGCAGTGTCAACTTTTTTATTTATGGAAGCATTTAAGTGAAACTTGATACCTTGGCGCTTGGAACAAAGGAAAATCTAACATTAGTTTCAAAATGTAGGTTTGCGCATGCGCAGTTCCAACTTTCTTACTTAGAAAAGCATTGAAATGAAATTCTTCTTATAAACTGAAATTGAAATAGCATGTCAAAAATGGATTGCTCATGTGCAACGCTATCTTTCATATTTGTGGCCGGATTTTTATGATTTTAACAGAAGTTGCATCTTACAAATGGGAAATGAATGCAAGTGGAAATCGTTTACGATTACTTTTTAACTTGTTTTTAATGGTACAACCTAGTATTTAGCGCATTTTCCAACTGATGTTGGAAGACGCAATCATAGCCACTTTCTCCGTCCGTCCATGCAAGGGCGCCACTACTCCTACATCCAAGGAAAATCTTGACGATAAATGTGCGCCTGCGCAATGTCAACTTTCTTATTTATAGAGATATTTTTTGAAATGTTAACCACCGATGCTTCTAGTAAAGACAAGAATATTGCATATTGTAAAAATCAGATGTGCGCAGGCGCAAACTACGCAATGCCAACTTGTTTATTTATGGAGATATTTCTTTGAAATTTTAACCACTGAGCTCGCCACAGATGCCGCATGTTATAAAAATGATATACGTTCTTGGCTACATCAATAACATCTATTTATCCTAAATCAGTCTGTTTCAAGCGCACAAGTCAATTGCAAATTGGTAATAAGGCAACCAGGAGTAAAACAAGAAAAGGAGTATGTAACATTCTTTACTTACCAATTGATATTTCAAATTTATATTTAATTTAAGTAACTTCCTTCAGATTTTACTCGTTGATCGTTGAGTGAGAAATAGTAAAGAGGCGTACAGGGGCGGACTGGCCCGGGGGGGAGCGGGTGGCGATTGCCACCTGGCCTGTAGGTCATAATGGCCCGTTGGAAATTTATAAGTAGGGCTAGAATTTTGATGATTTTGTATCTGTCTGAGACATTGCTCTGTTATACAGAGTGGCCCAACGAGAAGTATACAGAGGGCTTTTAGGGTATTAAATTTAGAAATTTCGAAAAATCCTCGAACACGTCAATTTTGTATTCGAGGGGGACAACTTTTGGAATACAAATCACGAACCCAAGTCTTCACCCCTCTACGTAGGGAGCTTAACCCCTAAAATTTTAAATGGAATCCTATGGCAAATGGCACATTATTTGAAAGCCAATTTAATCGTGATTACTAATCTGCTTTGATTTTTAAATTCTATTGATTCGTTTCGGAGATATTCGCATTTGAAATGGTTTTTTTCCCTGAATTAAGTCCTTTAGATTACTTCTTGTGGGGATATTTAAAGAATAAAGTTTATGCTACTCCGCCCGGAACATTACAAGGGTTGCGAGCACGTATAACCATAGTGAAAGAATAGAATACACTATGGTATAACTCAACAATTTCGAGCGATTACCCCTGAAATCTTGCAACATGTACGGCAGCGTTTGGAAGCAAATCTTTATTATTGCATGGACGCAGGCGGAAGGCAATTCGAGCATTTATTGAAATAAATGTTGTGTGTTTAAAGTTATTTCTTATTTTTTGCACAATTTAGACCTTTTTTAGGTCTTTAGGTGACTTAGATCGTATTTGTTTTGGTTTTTTTTAGAAAAAACCATTTCCAACGCGAATATCTCCGAAAGGAATCAATAGAATTTAAAAAGCAAAGCAGATTAGTAATCACGATTAAATTGGCTTTCAAATAATGTGGCATTTGCCATAGGATTCCATTTAAAATTTTAGGGGTTAAGCTCCTACGTAGAGGGGTGAAGACTTGGGTTCGTGATTTGTATTCCAAAAGTTGTCCCCCTCGAATACAAAATTGACGAGTTCGAGGATTTTTCGAAATTTATAAATTTAATACCCTAAAAGCCCTCTGTATGCTTCTCGTTGGGCCACTCTGTATATAAACGTGTTTCAGGATAAATTGAATCAAATGACAGCAACTTCTTGGTGCATTTTTTTACATTCTTTGCCATTTTTGAGCAATGGGTCATTTTTTGCTAATTTTTACGGTATTTTTAGCATTTTTTGTGTGTTTACTTTGAATTTTTTGCATTTTTCAGGAATAGCGCTAATTTTTTTGATATTTTACGGTATTTCTCTTGGTGAACTTATACACCTTTGTTAAAGTTTTATTTTTCATGCAGTCTTATATTTCTAAAACATAATGCAATATTTTTCGTTTCTCAGTAGTTCCGGGTATCTTTACCTGTTTAGAAATGAAGGCTAAAACCTCCATTGTAAGCTAAATGCATAAGTTAACGTTTTCTTGGAACGTGCTTAAGTCATCCACAAACGAATGGCCACTAAAAGGGATTAAATTTCTTTGGGATGCGGTAAGTGAGTCAGTACCTTAGATACCTAGTTTCTACGACTGGCCGGCAGAGGGTGGAAATGAACCACCACTGAAATTCCTGTATTATCTTACCTAATCCACTTACCCTTCTTAACATAATTTTGCGGTCTTATTCAGTTTCATCAATAATTTTATTTGTTATTTAAAATGTCATCTTTTTAAATTTTTATGTGATTTTTGCGAAATTTTTAAGTCATAATTGCATTTTTTATTTTGCATTTTCGCTGATTTTTAACGTCATTAAAATCCTAGCCATATTATTTATATATAAGTATGTGCTGTATTTAGTTTCTTGCACTATTAATAAATTATTAACACGTTTCTCTTATCAGCTGCAATAAAAAAACTATATTCTAATCGATTTTCGAGAAAGGAATACTTTAAAATGAAGCAAAAAAATTGGCCCGTAACCTATGTAATTCCACCTGGCCCGTAAGTACCCAGTTAGCCCCTGGAGGCGTAACTGAAATGTAAAATTGCGATACATATTCCCCATCTCACTCACCGTGCGACTCTGATGCTTAAACGTCGCTCAACAACACGAACGCTACTACAACTGCGATAATCGACTGCTCTTTATGAAATCTCCGACGTACTGAAGCATCTCGAATAAGCTTCATCTAAATTAATCGAGTTGTGCCTCCTTATATTTCTCACTCGACGCTCTAATTTAAATTTAGTATTCTCGCTCCGGCTCTCGCTCTATAGTAGATTTGTTATTTCCTTAGTTCTTCGGTTCGCCACTAGAGGTCGTGATCTTCTTTTCTTGCATACATATTCCCTGTACTTCTCTCCTTCAGAGACGATCTGGCCATCATATTTGTTGCATGTAAATTTTTCTTGATACGCCGTTACTTTTTACTTGATTTAGTGTCTACCTGTTTTGGCTTTCTTTGGAGTATTTTCTCTCTATTTCTGATGTGCTGTGGACGCTTTGCATATTTGTGTTTGCAAGTAATTACTGTGAGGTATGTACTTAAGCATTTTTCTTAATACGTATTTTTTAGGGATTATCTCCGCTCAAAGTTCCCTTAAACTTCTCTCTTAACTTCTTATAGTTTTCTCTTTTTGATTACTTTTCCGTTATTCTCTACCTAGATATTATCTACGGAGAACGTGGATAACATCGCAATGTCACCTGGATCCGCCATCTTAGCGAGATTGACATTGGCGACGTCACGTGAGATATTACATTACCTACTTCGAAAATTTACACCTGGAGATGTTCCAGTCTAACTGCAAGTATTTACGAAACGTTTTGGAGAATATTAGCTTTGTGAATCGCTTCGATATTTCTGATCCTACGTAATTTTCTTTTGTCGTTACCGATTACGATTCTTAATTACGTTATTTGTATCACTCCGAAGAATTTGTTCATACTAACTTATTTACATTTTGAATTAAGTAAATTACATTACTGCTGTACAGAAATTTAGTCATTTGTGGATAGTAAAGTAGTTTTTCGTGAGTTAATGTGACATTCATGTTTTTGTACACCGATTTGTACGGACGATCCGTGGTTGAGTCAAAATTTTGCTTTTGCTAGTGTAAAGTAATTATTATTGATTCAGATTGAGTACTAATTATGGCATTCACTATCCCTCTTTTTTGTTTGTGCTGTTATCTGTTACAGATAAGGCAGAAAAGCGCCGTGACTTTAGGAGGCAGTTTGAAGACATTATTATTATATTACGGTTTATGGATAATCCGCGCGGCTCCACTATTTATTTTTTTTACTCCGGATCCGTTTAATATAGAGCCACGAAATTTCATTGAGAGCTTGTCAATAGTGCATGTAATTAAATTATGGTGTTTGTAAAACACGGGAAATAATTAATTTTAAGGTTTAAAGTCTTTGAAGATAAAACCACCATAGTAAATCCGTGTTCTTCTATCTTTACACCATCATATCTATTTTTCTAAGAACGATATCGTTACAATTAGACCGGTGTCTTAAACTAGAATGATATGGGCTTCCAATTATAAGTATATAATAACTCATATCACATAACTAACATAACTAATCTGGTATTAGTGCAATTGTACCAGGCCCTTCAAAATCGCGCATTAATTATCCGCGCAGAGTAAAATTCATTATGCAAGAAACTTTTTTGTTTTTTATAGAATTGTATCACATATTTGGTATAAATTGCAGCCAAAGGGCACAAAAATGTTTTTCAGGCGGAATTCTTAAAAAATGGTTTTTATTTTCTTTTGTCAGCAGTTTTAGTAAATTGAGCGACTTCAGAAACACTAAAACGCTCAAAGGAAATTATTACTTTTCAAATAATCATTACTAATCTATTTTCAAATAGTGTCTCAAAGATTTAAATATCCATTACACTTACAAAACTCAAAATATTATACACAGGGTTAGTCAAAAGTATAGAATATATCTTATATCTTCGTTAATATGAACTGTACAGCAAAATATTTTACCATTAATATGAAAGTGAAATGGAAAATTTGTCCGTATACCTAACACAATCAGACATTCTTTGAAAGCAAAATAATTGAATAAATGGATCCGGTTTGGTATCGTCGGAAAGGTGGTTTATTTCCTCCTTACGGCTACATAAAAATAGTAATTTCGTTAATAATTAAACGATTTAAAGTAATTATAAAACCACTTCCAGAATACTAGAGCTTGAAGTTGGAGTATCATCAGAAAAAAATTGCAGCACAAATTAGCACAAAATGAGCTCAAAATTTGAAAATATCGATGTTGACACTCCAGCGGGAAGTTGGAGTGTCATCAGAAAAAGTTGAATTACTCATTAACCTGACGAGCACAAAATTTTAAATTAGGAGCACAAAATGAGCACAAAATTATAAGATACTTGGAACTTAATTCCTTTCAAGTCGACACTCCAACTTCACGGACCCCAGTGGTAGAGCGCTGGGCTACATAGGCGGAGGTCGGGGGTTCGAACCTGGTCTGAAGTAAGAATTTTTATTCTGTGGCAGAGATGGGAATTTCCTTAGATCAGTTTCGAGCATTCCGACGCCTATTCCCAATTAGGTTTTCCTACAGCTTTTCGTATGATTTTGTCTTCATTTCCTAGTAAGATGGAGTATTGTCGACATTGCTAGTGTTAATGGCAAATGAGGTTATCGGGATGAGCTAAAGCAGAGTCTAAAGCAAAATCATTTATTAGTAACTAATGCAGGTGAATAACTTCGGGGTAAAAAAATTCGAAATGGTCATCTCCTCCTGAACGGAATTTGTTCTACAGTAATGTTCCATTATGGCTGTCGTAAACATTATGCTACTGCCTAACGTCAGAGAGTACAGTAAAAATAGGTTTCCAACGAACGAGCTGGAGAATTTATGATACGACAAGTAGTTGCCGAACCCAAAAAAGAATATCATAAATATTGGGAGGTAAAATCCCAGCGCGATCGTCGAGATGTACTCATGAAACAGCGCCGATAGTAAAAACACTAACTGCTTCGCTATAAACTTGTTTCCGGGGCAGAGAATTTCATAGGTGTCCTTGTACACGTAGTTGTACAACCAATCATGAACCACCACGTTCCACGTCCTGTAATATCTGGAGTACGAGGAGGACGTCCACCAATCCTGCGAAAAAGTATTCAGCAAGCTGGGCATACAAGGAACCGTACCTCATAAAACAGTTTATCGGAAAACTGTAAGATTTCCGCGCAAATGTTCTGCGAAACGTGCAGTACCAGGTAGAAAGTCATAACGAAAGCAAAAATTGAGTATAAACAATTTTCTAGAATTATCGTGACAATATCTGTCCAACGATACGTGGTCAGTCCAAAATTTTTCAAGTCGTGTATGTAGCCGCGTTCGAATATAATTGAGTAGAGTAGAATTATGGCCACTAACTCCGCCATAAGACCACCCACAAATCGCCATCTTATCGGATGTTTGCTCCTAATAAGAACAAGTCATTAGCTAATCTGAGGGGGAAGAGGTTACCTTGGATATGAATCCCTATAGACCATCGCTGGCGAAAACAAGAAGTACATGTAATGCGAAAATTTCGGAAATTCCTTCATGAGGTTACTCGTAGTCAGTCGTGGTACGTTACTTCTGACAACCGAGTACGACTTCATTAATAATCTCATCTAAAATTGGAAGGCTTGTTACTCCAATTGTTTGCTGGTTAGGTATACTCACAGCTTCCATTCCTACAGCGACTGAGCTTGCGAAACCAAGGTTGTACCTGTAGGTGAACACAACTGGTATATTTAACACTGCAAGGAAGTGAAACGCGTAGGACGTAAGCCATAGCGTATTCCAGACTTGTGATACGAACGCTAGAAGTCAACGAAAATCTAAGTTGAGCATGTTAGAGGGCATTTACTTACAGTTTGGAATAATTCGAGTTCTTCCGATTGCCCAACACTTAAATCCGTAGTACAACCACACGGTGCTTAAAAATGCAACGAACCACCCCGCCAGCGCCATATGAATGTTCTTGAAGCTCTGAAAGACCAAAGCGAAACTCGAGGTAAGTCTAAAACACACAGCACGTTGTCAAGTTGCTGAAAGTAAAAAATACATCTTACCCTTCTCCATAGAAACAGTTACGAAACAAAAAGTTGATGCATAGCGCCAGGAAAACCATAAGAAATATGCGATAGACGGCGAGCAAGTTCTTCTGTTGCGTTATTTCCGTTATAACCGAGTCTCTGGGTTGGTAAACCTTGACCTTAAACTCATATTTCCTGCAAAGAGAGTTTAAGCCCTGCAATTAGAAGAAAAATTTACTTCTTTTGCACTTCGCCGCTCGTTCGCGAGGAACTGTTCGGAGCCATGGTGCTTTCTGTCTGTAAAAAAAGTACGTCTCAGATTTATGGTCTACTTAGTACTTCTTCACGGTGTCATAACATTGGGGAGCTTTGGCGGTATTTGGCGACACTCTCGTAAATAATCTGCAATTACCAAAAAGCGCTGACCTCGCCCAAGGGCAATTTTTCACTACGCAGGAATCTCTGAATCTCGATGACGCTTTTGATTATGCAATTGAATCCATAGTAAATTTTTATATTATTTAGTATCTTACCCCAATTTATGATCAGAGGGTTAAAATCTTGGTATATGTACGCGAAACAATGACGTAATTTTCATTTTTCTTTTCAATATAAGAGTATTTAGCCATTTACTAAAAATTTGAGTGAAATTGATTCCTTACGTTGAAATTGGCGAGGAAAGAAATCTCTCAAGAATATTTGGACGCTTTCGCGAGCGATGACTGTTATTTGTCGCGGATTGTCATAGGCAACGAGACGTGGGTGTTTTGCTAGAATTCTCTCAAATTTGGGACTAGAGAGTTTTGGTTTATTGAATACACGGCTAAAACGCCCAAGCAATCAAAGTAGACATGGGAAAGCATATTTTGTGGGCGTGTCACAACGAGACATTATAACGGGTGGTCGCTTTAGAATTTCAAAAGTTTTATTTTCAAATTTAAATTTTGTTCTACAATCGAAAATATACCGCTTCATAGCGAACATGAACGAAAAGGTGTGCATTTTTGAGGTAAACCGCTAGTGAGACTGGATTGTAAGGGTGTTTTGGCCATACGAGGTTAGATTTCCAAAGAGTCACCACGCAATATTTGCGTGTGAGAATTTTATTTTCGCATAATTACGATTATCTCGCAGTTAATTTCGCGAGCGGTTACGTACCATCTTAGGTGCGCTTAAACTTTCGTTAGTGAAAGTTTATCAAGCAGCGATAAGTTACGTTTTATTTTGAGTGAAAAAATTCTCAAAAAGAAGGTTGCTATTTTTCAATCGCGTTGCTAAGAAGGTATTTGAAATTAAATTAGTGACAAAGTGTGCGCTACATGCAAGTTTAATTAAACAGACGTTAGCCTAATTCGTAGCGAGGCCGTTTATTTTTGAGTGATAAAAACCTACTCAGATTTCAACAATTCCGAGCAGTAGGAGCGCTTTTGAAACCAAACCGTCAGTAAATAAACTGGCATTAAAACTCATTGTGATAAAGTTTTTTCGGATTGCTGGTTAAAAACAACTTTCTCAAAGGGAATTTAAAAACAATTAATCGATGGGTTTGCCTGCAACAAAGCCTTTTCAATAACTTCGGCAAAATTAATATCAACACAGCGGAACGTTGGAATTTCACTCCTCGAACTCGAGTATTAAGTTCCAAAATTTGTAGTCGGTTTGCGACTGATTGCGTGATCTCTTTCGCCAAGTTTTGCACTCATCACGAAGATAACGTTACTAGGGTGATCCAAAATCACATCTGTACTATCGAAGCAATCTGTGTTCATATTTCTAAAGGAAGCCTTGATTTTCAAGGAGAGATAAGATCAATTGCTATCAGAAGTAAATATTTATTTAGGTTATTTTAAATTTTTTGATTTGTTTAAAGCAGTGGTCGGTTATGTTTAGGAATTTGCATATTAAATTTGTTTGAAGTAATATTCCTAAAAGAATAGACCCGTGAAAATTATTTGCATTAAACGGAATTTGTATTATATTTATTGATACGAATCTAATCCAAACAAAGGATTTTGGTTACATATACCATCCTACAAACAAGAAAAAATTAGTCTAAATGTGATTTTCGTTTATTGCTGGTACTAATTTAGTAACTGCCACTTTTGAAGAGATTCGTAGGTATGAAAAACCGTTATCGCTTATTTTTAATAACAAGGTTTCTTGTAGAGAATTTTTTAAATGAAAATTCAGCAAAGTACGAAAATGTTCCTATTTGACGTCGGGAAATACAATTTTGTTGGTTTTGTGGAAGGCTCACTACAGTTCTGATCAGCATCGCAATAGTTATAAAACTTCTGGGTGCCTCTCAAGATTTTAGAGTAGGGGAATAGATGCCAGTAGAATGGCGTTTCATCTGACGGAACCGGTTATGCAGAAAAAATCCGTATTGTAGCGAATATTCCAGAGCGACGACATCGGGGCGCCATTAGGTCGACAGCCAGTTCATAAAGTATTAATCGCCGGTGATAAAAAAATGAAGTCAATCATGGTAAATAATAAAAAAGTTCATTCTTTAGTCGGAGCTAATTATTTTTTTTTATAGTGTCATCGGATAGCTCTAGCTAAGATAACCGAATATAATCCAAATTTCCGACATCTCATCACGAGACTTCCGAAAACCTGAGAAGGCAATGCTCAACAGAAATTAAAAGACGCAGAAAGAGCAATCTCCCACTCCCCCATCTAGCGTTAGGGTCGTACGCTAGTCTTAGTACTATAGTACTATTGCATCCAGGAAGGGACTGAGTGTCTTGGGGCTGAGGGTTTGTTTAGTTCCTGTTAACAGTTTGCCCGCCAGTACTGCTTCACTGAGTACATCCGCGGTAGGGTTTTCTTCAATTTTATCGAGGCCATTTTTGATTTGGCCGTTAACTTGAAGATTTTTATTAGCACACTTTCACACGAATCTTGTAGTTTTGGATCAGCAGTTAGTATCATCTCGTTCTGGCGGCCAACACCACTCGTAGTGTTATGGTGGCGTTTTTCTTTTTTAACATCGGTTCCTCCCCTGCATTTCGAGATACCATATGTCTCAGCTCTTCATATCCTCGCAGGAAAATCTTGAACCTGGATTTCGTCTGTAGAAGGCGAGCTGTTGCATTTACCAATTCCTCAGCTTCTCAGTCCCTGGTTCTTGTTGTAGATCCATGATCTGTGAATGGCATGAACGTTGCGAGCTCGAACCGCTCCGTGGTCATCTTTCCCATCTTCAGATTGTGGACATTTGAGATCACCTCAAAATGTGTGCCACTGGGCGTATGGTTGTAAGGCCTAATGTAAACCATCCGGCTCGAACAAGCAAATGTCATCAGGCTCGAAGAATCAATGTCATTCGGCTCGAAGGACCAAACGAATTGGCGCCGCGTTACCACAAGGGTTCCGATCCCAGTGAAGTGCGAGGTTTTCAAGTGCTTAAAACTTAAAATTTAAAATCAGCTTCTCAATCTCCGTACTATTGTACGGAGATTGAGAAGCTGATTGCGGAGCGGTTCGAGCTACCAACGTTCAGAGAATGCTCTCACTCACAGATCATGGACCTGTAACAAGAGCCAGGAATCCAAGAAGATTTACAAGCGCCCGCACTTCTCCCTGTCAACCGCAGCTCCGGTGAGTCCGAACGAGACAACATCCCAAATGAAGGCAAGCCAAGGGGCAGCGATTTTAATGTCCAAGGGAACAGCGATGGGAACAAATGCAAGACATTTCAAGAAATACCTTTACTACCCATCCTGGGTCACACGCACCCGTAGACCCGTAGACAGCAAATTAGATTTGATCGGATTATGAAACTTAACCAGAACCCACTGACCGAACTGGATAAGGAACATTCCTACAAATGTGAAAATTTTAAAGAGACGGGGATTCCCCAGCTCTGGGACGACTTCGAAGAAGCATAAGTCGAGATTATGATAAGCAGCGGAGTACCGGATATTTTAGAGGCCCATTACGAAAGTGCAAAGGGCCTGGTAGCGGTATGCAAGAAAGAATCATGAGAGGAAAATCCCTTCAATGTACTTTCGTATCTCTACGAACCAAATTCGAAAAGGCAACCGCACGCCTTCTACAAACGGAATCCAAGTTAAAAATACAAAAATTCTCTTGCCCTACGCAGCCCTTTGGATCACCTATAACAATTTCAAGTACCGAAAGGTCCTGAAAAGAGACAAAATTCAGAAAATCCTAAAAATCTAAAAAATGAAAATTGTACACAACTCGTGCAGATAAAGCGCATTTTTTTGAACCGAAATAGTTTTTGTTTTGACATCACTAATGGATATATTTCTTGCAGAGCTCTCAATCGCCCTTTGTGAGTATCCTCTTCCGACAATCCGTTCTTGAGGTATAAGGGAATATATCCGATCACGATAAGAGGTCGAGGAGGAGGGCTATGGTTAGTAGAAATTCATTCCTTTCGTTGAGACATTTCATTAGAGTACCATGAAGGATAAAACTAGTTCCACTACCATGAAGGGTAGAACATGTCTTTAATCCCCCCCCTTATTCGAAAGTGTAACTTGCCACCACTAAAGGCATGCGTATGCAAAATCTGAGACCATTATTGGTTGTCGTATGTAAAAGTTATGCACGTTTTACTTTCAAGAACAGCATCTTAGGAAATAATTTGTGAGGGTGGTCCCCCTTTTAGGCAGCGAAATTTGATGGCCGTCTGGCACACTTTCAAGGTATAAGCTACCTACTGCAAAAAATTCTAGGACTCTAGGACCATTCCCCTAGAAGTAGTTCAAAACGGTAGAAGTGGGTCCGGACGGACGGACAAAACGCAAACAATAGCACATTTTTTTTAATTTTTAAAAAATGCGCTAACAATTAGCTATGTCAATACAATTGTATACGAGGATCTAAAATAAACATTTTTCCAAATAAACTGGAGGTGGTTCAAAATGTTTAATCTGGGAGCCATCCCTTTCTCCCAAATGGCGGTTTATTTTTAATTTTTCTCAGCGACCGTCATTCATTGGAGGATGGAATTAATTCTGCGGTTGCAAAAATTTACACTGGAAGTAGATAAGAAAGTTGAAAAATTAAAGTGGAAACGCAAATTTTGGGACCACTGAAACGACCCTTTTCGACTTTCATAAATGAACACAAACCGGGCACAATTACCAGTATCTCCGCACAAAAGGTGGGAGCATACTCACAAATCAGCACAAAACGAGCACTAACTAATGTATTAATGAACTTCAATTTTTGAATGCACTGCACGTCAATTTCTTCAATGCAGTGCTTGTCCAAAAATCCAAAAATTTCGTGTCCAGCATCAGGAGCCGTTACGATGTTCATACAAAATTATCGATAGCTACTGGAAAATTTAGGTATAATAAAATTCAATTCTAGAGGAAGAGCCTTAAAAACACGTGTAAGTGACGCATTGCTTGGTTATCTGATACGTATTTTGTATCGTGGATGACGAAGTAGGTATCATTATCAAGTTTGGCACATAATTTTGATAGAGCGCCATTACAACGCACACATGCCAAACGTAATCCTTACTCTTGACTTCAGGAAAATCTAAATTTTCCTTGAGGGTTAATGTTGGAGGTAAACCCGATGGAGACGAAAACGATGAGAAGCAAGCAAGGGGGTCAAATTTCCTCTATCGGAATCGTATTGTCCAATTTGACTTTGTTTATGTTTAGTTCTATGGGCCAAACTGCAGTTCATTGTATCGATTTTAATCTTGTCAATAACCGATACGTGTACAAATGAGAAAAAGGAGCGATAAGTTTGATAACATTTCACAATTGACCTTATAAACTGTACTTATTATCAAATGTGGAGTGCGGGCGAACTTTCAAGTATGCCTTAACAATAGTAAAACGTAACTGCTCACCTTTAAGTACACCTTCCACGGTTAACACAGTACTGGTACTAGAAGCAACTTTTGGTAACCACTTCCTTTCAAACGTAACATCGACAATGCGTTCCTCAAGATAATTCCACACTAAATAATCTTATCAGTACTTGTTACCCATTAATGAAGATCGGCTAGTCGGTCCAAAATCCAGCGGGAAGTTTTACTCCGTTGAATGCAGATTGTAGAATTTTTGCAACTCAAAATCAAAAAGTGATGCCGTTATTTGGAAAAAGGGAAAGCTACTCAACATACAGCATTTAGTATGGACATTTAATTTGAAATACTTTCGTTTCATCTTTTTTCCAGTTTCAGGGGATCTATCAGAACCTCCAAAAACGCTTTTAAATTAATGCAAATCACAAAGAATTTTTGAAATAATTATTTTGAAATAATATTAATAGAATGTTTGACGCAGATAATAACGTTTTTTTAATCGCAATTGAGTATGACGTCCGATGTCGATAGGTCGCTTGTATCGCAACATTTTTTAGTTAATTTTGTAAGATACTCTCCATATCTCGATCGCTTTTGTTTATTTATCTTCACATTTACAAAATAAAAAGAAATACTCTACCTATAAAATTTACGTTTAAATATTTTTGCGTTAAAAAAATTTCGAGTGAGATTTTTTTAATTTTTCGAAATACGAGGGTAAGTGAGGTTTTTGGTTGAGTTGCGAGCTGTTAATGCACCGCTTCTTACAGCCCCTCCCTTAACTATTTGAGTGGACCATGTAACGGGTGATCGCTTTGCAGTTTTAAAAACAATTTTTTCTAGTTCAATAGGGAAACTCAACGGCTTCACTAGTAGTAGGGGAGCTAGCACGAAATCCACTGAACGAGAATGATCAAAATTTTAACCGATGGAGTTCCATTTTGCCCTATCAGAGTATGCTAAAATCGATCGTCTGCCGCCTCAGGTCATACGACTTAAGGCGCTGCGGGTACTCGTACTTCTTGTGGTACCAATTCTGAAAGGTTGTTTTTCGAGAAAATAAGTTATACACTAAATGAAAACGTTGATAATAGCTCTTAAAAAAACATTTAAAAAAATCGCGCAGATTTGATAACTCCGTAAAAAAACAATTCTTAGTCGGTTTTTCACGAACTTTGTACGGATATAACTAGGTTACCGTTGGAAGAATGAAGCTGATTTTTTTTACATACTAATGGTAGGTACAGCCAATGACTATGAGAGTGTTTCTTTTTTAAATTTTTTCTCTAATTATAAGATATCTTATAATGTTAAGCTAATAAGATAATCTTGTAATTAGAGATAAAATTTAAAAACGAAACACCGTTAAGTCATTAGTAGTACCTATCATGAGTCTGTAAAAAAAATCAGCTTCATTCGTCCCACCGTAACCTAGTTATATCCGTAGAAAGTTCGTGAAAAACCGACTAAGAATTGTTTTTTTACGGAGTTACCAAATGCGCGGGATTTTTTTAAATATTTTTTTAAGAGCTATTATCAACGTTTTCATTTGGTATATAACTTATTTTTTAGAAAAACAACCTTTCAGAATTGGTACCACAAGAAGTACCCGCAGCGCCTTAAGTCGTATGACCTGAGGCGACAGACGATCGATTTTAGCATACTCTGATAGGGCAAAATGGAACACCATCGGTTAAAATTTTGATCATTCTCGTTCAGTGGATTTCGTGTTAGCTCCCCTACTATAGGTTCCGTTTCAGAAATGCAGGTGGGCATCTACAAACGATTTCTAATTGCGATAAAATGCGAGTTTTAAGTACATTTCGTTTATTTTTCGCTAAAGGGCAAGCGCACAGTTTTAAAGAGCGGGGTAGAAGTATAAACTGTTAGTAGGTCTAAATTACAGCAGGGGTAGTCTATAAGATTTACCCGAATAAACCGTTGGAGAAAAAACATTTTGTGTTCACAAAATTACGAGAAAAAACTATCGGTTTGTATACAACGCTTTTACACACCAGAACGCTATTAAATCAATTGAGCTTAAATTCTCAGTTCCTTTTTTCAAGGTAAGACATCGTAAGCTGATGAAAACACCAGTGTCATCCAAAACTGTAAGTAATATTCCTGATGGAACCGACTTATGAAAATTTAATCGGATATGTATTGCATTATGTGATAATAATCGAATCCACACAAAGGACACAAACGTTATTTTTTTCTTAGTTGGGAATTTGAAACAATTCCTTATCTGGTTTAGCATTAAGGGGTGTGTAGATATTTTGAATAGGAGAATGTACGTGGAGTTTATTATGTATAAAAAACGGCATAATCGGCAAATCTAGAACAAAACTAATATTTTAAAGCAAGGTGGATGTAAAAGAAGATTGATTAAGATGAATCGATTCATCTTACGTGCGTATTTATTTGAGTTCAATCAAACCATAGCATCAGGTTCTGAATTTCAGATTTAAAGAGAAGGCCAAACTCCCGAAAAGTAAAGGGTAATTAAAATTTGTATTACAGAGCTAGCCGTATGTAAAATTAATGGTGATAGGAAAGTTTTTACTAGTGCGTAGAGGTTCGATTTTAGACAATGCAACCTAGAGATCGTTTATAATTTTGCATTGCTATCTGTCGTCTGCATGCTGGTCTGTCCGTCTGTTCCTTTGCTGTCTGTCCATCTATCTGTCCGTGTGAACGATAACTTTGTTTAGAAATGTTCGATCGCTTTTACATCTCCGTTAGTTATGAACTGAATTGCATGAAATTCAATATGGGCATAGCTTTAGCCATAATAATACGCAATGCCAAAAGTTGAATCGAATCGATTCAAAATTCACAGTGCCCTTTTCGCATCTCGACCATTTATAAACCGAATTGCAAACTATTTTACTTATAAAAGTATTTGAATGAAATTTGATACATAGGCACTTGTAATAAAGGAAAATCAAACGCCAATTTCAAAATTTGGTTTTGCGCATGCGCAGTGCCAACTTTTTTATTTGCGGAAGAATTTAAACGAAATTTGATACATAGGCACTTGGGATAAAGGAAAATCAAATGCCAATTTCAAAATTTGGTTTTGCGCATGCGCAGTGCCAACTTTTTTATTTATGGAAGAATTTAAACGAAATTTGATACATAGGCATTTGGGATAAAGGAAAATCAAACGCCAATTTCAAAATTTGGTTTTGCGCATGCGCAGTGCCAACTTTTTTATTTATGGAAGAATTTAAACGAAATTTGATACAAAGGCACTTGGGATAAAGGATCATCGAGCGCCAGTCTCAAAATTTTCTTTTGCGCATGCGCAGTGCCAACTTTTTTATCTATGGCACCATTTAAGTGAAATTTGATACTTAGGCGTTTGGAACAAAGGAAAATCTAACATTAGTTTTAAAATTTAGGTTTGCGCATGCGCAGTTCCAACTTTCTTATTTAGAAAAGCATTGAAATGAAATTCTTCTCATAAACTGAAATTGAAGTAACACGTCAAAAATGGATTGCCCATGTGCAACGCCGGATTTTTACGATTTTAACAGAAGTTGCATCTTATAAATGGGAAATGAATGCAAGTGGAAATGCGCTTTATGTAAATCGTTTACGATTACTTTTTAACTTGTTCCCTTTTAGCATGATTTTCTAAAAGTTTATTCCTTCTTATTACAAATTTCACCCCTATCTTTGGAGGGTAGATTCGTCCTTTTAGCCTTTGAACTGCTGCCTTGGAAAAGATGCTTCTTTCTTTTTGGATGATTTTATAAGTTTTTCCAGCCTGCTACAAACATAATTGTAGATACTATATTGTAGTGAACATTCCAGATTCCGAATCTCGATAGACATCAAGGGGCTATGAAATATTAGTACTCGGCGTTAAAGAACGAAGGCGGATGTGACGTAATCTTTTCGAAAAATATGACGTGTTTGTTCGAGAACGTTCTAGAATAGTTGGATGCCTTCGGAAGCGTTTGAGACCTTTCGAGAAATAGAAGGCGTTTGCTATATAAACAAACAAATTGCGTTTCGGTCCGGTTCCACTTTTGACGACGAAGTAATAAATAGTTCGCGCTGTTATAAATAATGATAAATAATATTTTACTGTTATAAATCTATTCATTTCAAGACTGTTGTAAGTTTATTGTTAATTAGTTAAAAATAAATGAAGCAAGTAATTAAATTTACGTTACATTATAAAGAAAATTTAAAATTACGATTTAAAAACAATAGGCATTCCTCTGTCGAGTAAAAACAAATTTTAAAGTTTGTTCTACAAACTTTTTTCATGATCTTTAATCAGTCGATTCTCAATAGTTATTAATCATTGCGTATTTGATTCGCGATGCATTTGCTAATTTGGATCCGTGACCTCTTATACTTGATAATACTGCTAATCTTGATTATCCTGTATAGTTGTTGAAGTTTTTTGTCCTAAATGACTTTACGACCTTTGTCTTTAGAATACGTTTGATATTTATTGACCAGTAACAAAGGAATAAAATGTCATAGTTGTTCTAGAACTGTAATAACTGTATATTTTGACATCTTTATAAATTAATCAAATTTTTATAAACAAACAATAAATGATAG